TTTCGGGAAGAATGGACCGAGGATCCGTACAAAAAGAACGTGCCGTTATCAAGAGCTTGCACGTTAAGATCTACGAAGGACGGCAAATGTACAAAGGGACCGTAGCTCTTCTTGGTAAGCACGAGATGACGAAGAAATGAATAGAAAGGAAATTTCAACCCATTCTATCGTGAAACGGTAGCTGTGATTTATTATTATTTGGGTAACAACGAATCATTAGGAATCGATCTTTAAAGGTTGATGTGACAAGATGTATAATCTATTTTTTTTTATATTTACTTGATTAAATCTTTATTATTTAAATTAATAATACAGGAGTGTGAATGGGTTCAATGGTCCTGGTAATAAGGATGTGCTTTAGATACAAAATCTATGTGTAATTGTACTTAAGTTCTTTGCTTGTAATGCAGGAGTGTACAATTTGGGTTTAATGATCATGGATTTAAGGATGTGTTTATTACAAGGATAATTTAAATGATAAATAATTCATGAGTCGATAGTTGAAATCTCACGGGTTAACCGGAAATTGGTAATTATATTTTTTTCTAGCTAATGATTTGAATATCAAGGTTCCCATGAAGTTGTCGTCATCGGGTTGACCTGGTTCCACCTGATTCCCGAAAAGATTCGGTTGAGGGATTTTTTTGGGGGATTCCACCTGCGATGGTATTCAAATGGTTGGAACTGTATCGGAATCTCGGCGAAGGTAGAGTAGACCTGTATACTAACTGCGAAGAATGAGTCGGCGAGTGCTGAGCGGCTGGTATCTCTTGTGGTATTAATGAGAGGCCCCGTGTCCAACACGCGCTTAACCGCCGCATACCGAGCGGCTCGTGGAGCGTGTCGTCTACAACATACACGATTCCCACGATTCCCACCATCGGCACCATACTTCATTTCGTATACCAAAACAACACGAGCTCATTCCTTTTGTTGTTCGCTGATACCGTCATTGTTGTTGTTGTTGTTTCTACAGAGAAAAGAAACGCAAACGTTGCGCAAGTGTATACATTTTTTTTTGGGTTTGCACACCTTAACCAGATCACCTTTGAAGTCCAGCAACAAACATTTCCGCCAACGTCCAGGACTTCCGCGACATACGAAAAGCGGAAAAGTTGACGACAAGCCGACCAACACCTTATCCAGATTATTGGGTTGTTAACTGGAAATTGCCTATTACGTCCTATAATGCCAGAGGTCATCGCGTTTTATCACTTATAACCGGCGCGCTCACTTTCACCGCGCCATAATTCCTATTATTATTATTAAGACTTCCTGTGCGCCAACTCGATCCGTTTCCCACGGTACTCCTATTGAAAAGCTCACCCCAGTTCCATGTCTCCCATTCTTCCTCCATCTCTCTCGCTCTCATTTCCACTCAATAGAATGGGTAACATTAGAAATAACAAAGGGTCTCTCTTTGTTATATTCCTGCAAGCCCTGGCTTTAAAGCGTGCTGCGCTCGTGATAGCCGCACGTTTCTACAAAACTCAACCAAGAACCAAAATCTTACCTTCTCTGTCCCAAATAAGAAAAGGAAGTGTGCTGCGATTTATGGCTAAAAACCGGATTCATCCCCAAATATTCACATAACAATACGGAAGTGTGCTTGAATTTTTTTTTCTCATAATTTTTAAGTTTTTTCATTCATTCATTGTAAGAAACATACGAGGATTTATCGAAGCCTCGAGTAATATTCATAAAACAAACGACGACCGAGCAGATATCAATCTTTTCCCATGCCATTTGATGGCGCGTGAATTGCAAGTCCTCATTGTATTCTAATGTGAACGGAGGAAGTGTGCTGCATACGTTTTTGTATGTTTTGTTTCGATTTCCATTGATTAACTTTTGCATCCTCCTGACACAATATCGATTGCACAAATATAAATTTTACTATATTATTTTATAAAATGCAATATATATTTGACCTTTTAACACGTTTTCCTATGATAAACTTCCACATTCTTACATTTGCACATTTTGAATGCATGGATTACAAAGTATTTCTTTTATATTTAAATAAAATCGTATCTTTCCGTCAAGTAAAGTAAATCACCTTATTGTTTACATTTCCATGAAATTCTGAATACTTACTTTGTTATCCATTGATTAAATTCTAAATATTTATGCATAAATATGTTACAATTTTTTACATTTGTGAAATATAATTGCTTTTAAAAAAATACTTGTCATCTTTTATTGATAAGTAACGAAATATTAGTAATAAAGTTAATATGTGTTTATTAACTGAATATTAAATTACTGAATTGTACTAAAAAATTGATTCTGTAAGTAGTTAAGTACTTGAGAAATAAAGTGTTGTAATCATGTGTGTAGACATATCGCGATTATTGACAAGTACTTGACTAGTGTATTTAACTAGTGAGTTACCGATTTGATACTTGTTTATTATTTACATTGAATAAATGAATAGCTTTGGAATCCGAATTAGTATTGTATTTTTGTTACCTAAGTAACGTAAGTTGTTTGTAAATGTCATAAGATGAAGAAACCATTTGGAGAGGTGTCGAGCTTCGTAATTAAGGTATGAATTCATAATTGTTGAAAGTCTGTGGTGTGTGTAATATGGAATGGATTGAAGGAAAATGCGGATAAACGGGATTTGGATGCGCAACGGTGGTCGGCGAAGAAGTTAAGTAAGGTGTTTGATGGCGTGCGGATCCGTATTACTAGCAAATAACAGTCTTTTATTTGTTATTATGTGTAGCACGATCGGTAGTAGGGCATGTAATCAGTGTGCCCATCACGGCCTGGGTCTGGGCCCGAAGCGGATCGGGGGTGGGTGCGACGCGGAGGGGAATCCTCAACTACCGTGGGAACGGAGCGGAGAGCACGTGCGAGGATAAAATGATGGAACGCGGCGAGAGCCCCCGAACCAATTAGATTACTTCACATATCAATAACACGGACTCTCGAAAGTCCTTACATAACTTCGGGGCCCGCTCCGAAAAGTTTTCGAATCGGAGATCGTAAGCGAACGAAGAAAAAGAAAGAAACAAAACAAAACCGAAGAAGAAGCGAAAAAAATATACGAGAAGAAGAACGAGAATAAGAAGAGATGTATATATATATATAATAATATCATAAAACAAGCAACAATTTATAATATTCAAGGATACATACGGACATCAGATTCTTGGCGAACGCACCTGCCTTCTTTTCCCACAGAATACAGGAAGTGGAGAAAAAGAGACACCACTGGCTTATAGCGGAGCGCGCCCAGAAAGAGACGGAGCCACTGTAATTTCATACGAGATTTACAAGAGAGAATAAAGAGCAACAAAACAAACACCAACAAAAAAAAAGTTTTGAACGAAAGAGGAGAAGCGAAGTTGTTCTCCTCGTTCCCCACCCCCCTCGGTGCAAGTGTATTCCGATTGGAATTGGTATCCAGAAATTGGGATTACGGTTCCGGGTGGTGTGTCGCATCCCTTTCTCTCTCTCTCCGTCCTTCTCATCGACCATCATCATCATCTACTTCTTCTTTTTCTTATTATTATTCTTCTTCTTCATCATCTCCTTGTTGTCGTCATTATGTTCCATTTGGGGCCCGCAGCAAGTGTGCAGCAAGCGTGTCGCTTCTGCTCGGCCGTGGGAAAGTTTTCGCCCATCGGAGCCTGGAGACACGAGCTTGGATGGCGGCAGCCTTATCCAAGGTTAAAAGGCACGTGACAGCTCCGCACTCGGTACAATGCAATTAAAATACGGCCTGCCGCCACTACTTCTACAACTTTGGCGCCCATCGGCTAATGCATCATCGGTATTTCACCCATTGACTCACTACTCCCAACCGGTAAACATTCGCAGTCCCTAATCGACTTAATAAAGTTTACCCACAGATAGCCCTAAACTTACCATTCCAAATGATTTATATGCAGTTATCACCTCAACTCCTCTAGGGTCTTAACAACAAGGCATCTAACAACAAGCAATAAAATATTTGTATGCAAAAACAAATAATCAAATCACTCAAATCTAACACTTAGTACTCATGATTTATTACATTCGTATAAACTTTATTACTATTGTCATAAAAATGGAAATAGAAGAATATTTATATTGAAAATAATAATTGACTTATTTTCAATACAATAGATAAGATTGTAAATAATTTTTGTAAATTTTACTTCACACAATTTTTAGTCATAAATGAAATATAAATCTTAATAAAATATTATATTTTAATAAAGTAATTCTTTTATTTGTAACAATGATTCTATTTTCTATTAGAGTTGATTTGCTAAAATTATAAGTTAAAAACAGGATTTAATTGTCTTTAATTGGTTGTGATTTCAATTAAATTATATTATGATGCCATTCTATTTTAGTTTGTTGTTATTATGATGTTAATGTTTTTTTTATTATATTTTTTTTTTAATTGAGGCAAGATTTGCCAATTGACGTAGGTGATAAAAAAAAATATGTATCTGTGTTGTGCGTGATAAGTTGGTTATTTTCGTTCGCTGAAATGAAATGGCGAGTGTTGCGCCCAATGGATTATCCGAGATGAAAGGTTGCAACAGAAGTAATTGCCTAATGATTTAAAGAGAGAGAAGAAGATTAGGAATTAAGGATTAAGATGGTATGGGTTCTTGGTGGTATGAGGAGATTTACAATATTCGATGGTTGTGGTGGTGGAGGTATAATAATATAATGTTTAAAATCGGAGTGTAACAAATAAAAAGATAATTGACGGGCAATAAGAACGCTCAACAATACAATGAGCTACTAATACAGCGGGAGAAGGATGGCGAGATTGGTATCGGGCAGCGAGGAGTGAGATCAAAGAGAGATGTAGCAATCTAGAACGTGTCTGAGCACGGACCACGCACGAGCTGCTCGGAAGAGTGAGAGGATGGAGGACGATGGTATGGTTGTTGGTGTGCTCGAGGGAGATGGAAGGCAAACACGAGTTGAGCGTGTGCTGGAAGAGAGTTGGACAGAGAGGGGTCTAGGGCAGGACAGAGATGGAAGGTAGAAGCAGCTGCACGAGCGACGAAGCACACAGGTGGCTTATACTGTGGGAACGCTAAAGCTTCTGAGTTTCCCACGATTCATACTAAGCCAGGCACCTGGGTTGGTATATAAGGCGTCCCTACCACTGGATGGGCATCATTCTCCAACGCACTCTCGTTGAGTACACATCGTGCAGTGTAGTTCGAACAACTATCGGTGTCTTTAAACGCACACACACACACAACAAACTCTTCTTTCGTACACCTCAAGTGAATCCAATCACACGTGTTCATCATGTCTTACGAAATGTTATCAGTCGAAGAGCCGCAGCCGATCTCCCGTACTTATCAGTACAGGAAAGTGATGAAGCCGATGCTCGAGCGCAAACGCAGAGCGAGGATTAACCGTTGCCTGGATGAGCTCAAGGAGTTGATGGTCACAGCCCTTCAGAGCGAGGGCGAGAACGTGTCCAAGCTCGAGAAGGCCGACATCCTCGAGCTGACAGTGCGCCACCTCCACAAGCTCCGCCGTCAACAAAGGCTCTCCGCCAACCCAGTGATCGACGCAGACCGCTTCCGTGCTGGATACACTCACTGCGCCAACGAAGTTTCCCGCTGCTTGGCCGCCGTTCCCGGCGTCGACGTCAACCTGGGTACCAAGCTCATGACACACCTGGGGCACCGTCTCAACGAAATGGACAAAGTCTCACCGCTCGTGATCCAAGTATCTTCATCATCGCAATACACACCACCAGGAACACCGACACCTGAAGGCGCCTACTCCATGCCTCTTACACCAGCATCGAGCACCAGCTCAAGGCAGGCGCCTTCACCAAACCAACCCATGGACTGCTCCACCGCCGGCCTTCTCAAAGTCGCACAAAAAGTCGAACCAGTTTGGCGTCCATGGTAAACAACAACAACAAAAAAACACTCATCTGTACATAAACAAAACTGAAACGCAATTGTCTTTCGAAACAATTAATCTGTAAAAAAAAAGAATTGCTCAAATCGCTTTACTTAGTTTGTAATCAAAAAAAGATAATCAAAGAGGAAATGATCTCTTTCTTATGTTTATGTAAGCTTTAAATAATTGTTAGGTTCCTTTGTGATATTGATAAGATTTAAGGAAAAAGTTGGTACCTGTGATTCTTCATTGAAAAGGCTCACTTAAAAAAAAAACAAACCCAATAAAAGTGCCTTTTATATATTGTAAATATATCATCTTTTATATTATATTATATATTTTTTTTATATAATCAAATCGAAATGTATTGCAAGCAGAACTGTGATACATGAAACACATGCAAATATTATTATGAAATAAATGTTATCTAAAAAAAAAATTTAAACACTCTCTTTTACTCCACCTCATTCCTTCACCATTTCAGAAAATAACAACTACTACAAATAACAAAAAAAAAATAAATAAATAAGAACGCTGCAATTTCTGAATCGTTGCACGTGTTTTGGCGGAATATGCGCGTTTCCGATGAATGAAAATTCGTTGTGAATGAAATTTCGCTCGGACGTACGAGAAACACTAAAAATAGATTCGGAATCGATGATTCAGGATTTTTTTGCTTATCTGTCTCATTCATATCGTTTTCTCAGGATGCGAAACGCAAATAGCTTTGACCCGCTTTTTGGGTCTTGGCGCCAAGGTGCAAACCGGAAACTGGAAGTTATTCCAATTAATACTTAATTGCATCTTTCGAGTTGAAGACCATTCTTCCCATGGTGCACACGACGTTTCCAAGTAATTGATTATTCATTAGGAATCTTTTCGATTCATTCAAAATCACATCCTTACCGGAAACCAGTTGAATGGAATTTATTTGAGTATTAGTTTCTAGTATCTATATTTACTAATAGTTTTCACTTCTAATTAACCGTTGACATATGGTCTTTGCACCGTGTGAATTATATAAATGCTTGTAAAGATAAGACTTATTATTGTACAAATCATTTCCTTTCTACAAATCAATGATATTTGAACTGAATACAACGTAATTATTAAATAATATCAAATATTTAAATGTAAGTTAAGTTTACTACAAAGGAAATATTGATGTCATTATAATAATTATAACAAATATATTGAAAAGAAATTGCGTTCATTCATGAAAAATACATTCAAAACATTTCTTTACAGAAATCAATGAACACACAAAAACGCTCATTTGTAGTGCGCAAAAATGCTTCATTCATGAAAATGTGCTTGCTAAAATTTTTAAAATATTTTCTTACCATATTAAAAATATGAATGAATTTTTACACGAGTAAAATAAATCTGGTCGTGTTATAATTTTTTACTTCTACGATGAAGTTGATAGGCTTCGATTGATATTTTATACAAAAAGAATATATGAATAGAGAATACAGGAAATCAGAAGCCGTATAAGTTGTGGTTTAATAAACAGCTTTTGCTTCATTTTTTTTATTAACTTGTATTTATTTTTTAAATTTCTTTTCATAAACATATCAATTTCATATAATTTTTATTATAATAAGGAAAGAAAATTACTTATTTTTGTATAGGCTATCGGTTTCTAGATTACAAATAATAAAATGTAAGTGGTTCTTGATCTTCGGTCAAGGAAGATAATTCTTTTGAAAAAATGTGATTTCTCTACAATTTGTTTTGCCAATTATTTCATCCATATTGTACAGAAAATGACAAGTGACGTGACAATTGTGCTTTAAGATTTTTGGACAATGAAAATTTTCTAGTATTATTGCAAATATAATGTGGTTTTAATTTCAGGAATGATACTCAAACTTTTACAAAGATCATTGTAATGAAAGTTTTAGGGCTGAAAGACTTGGGTCGATGCTCGTAATTAGGGCCAATAAAAATTTCTAAATATTGCTTTGTCGTATTTCTTAATAATTTTACTCTATTTTTTCTTGTGAACTAATTTATATAAATAATTCTACCAAAAAGTACAACTATAATTTTTTAAATTAATCATTTTTATAATAATTTACATATTTTTCTTTCACTTAATTATTTTCTATATAAACAAATGTAATTAATATTTAATGCTGTAAAAAATATAAAATTAAAAAGGAAATCATTAAATAATTATTAGAAGTAATAAATTCTTAAAAAAATAGAAGTTCCAAATATTGGTCAACTTTGAAGATGTTCTGAAGATTAGAAGTTTTAAAAATGTGTAGGTAATGAAAACTTGAAACAGTGCCCTCTTACGACGAATAGACCAAGGTCAAAGCAACCTACGTGCTTAGATGAATGTATACTCTACTTCTTACAATTATGTAACGGCAAATACACTTACGTGCTTAACAAGTTGTCTACATAACAGCGTTTCTAATTAATTAATGAATGCTTAACTCATTAATGTTGCATATTAATATAAATAAATACTATAGATATGCGATAATTGTACGTTTGTATATCCAGATACAAAGATAACATTACATTAATTTCCCTAAGGTGTAATATGTCATTGTTAATTAATTAAGGCGTAAAAATGTACAATTACAATGCAATTTTTCTCAACGAACGGTATTACTATGACATTTTAAATTTCCACGTAAAAGAAGTTTATTTTATTTTTATTAAAGTAATTTGAATATTACTGTTTTGGGACCATTCAATATGTACACATTTGTATTATGATTTTAATTATGAAATGGAATTTTTATTTATGATTATTTGTAGACACGTTTTTGTAAAATTTTACCCTGAATACTATAAAGGATATATTGAACCCAATGTAGAAATATTAAAAACATTCCGTAACCAATTTTTTTTTATGCATTAATACCTCGCATAGTCCGGATTTACTATAGTCCGGTTTAAAAAAAATCACATCAAACTAAGTTTATATTTAAATTTACGCGTTTATTAATGAAAATCTGTATTAAAATCTTTCATGATTTGAAAGTCATTAGTAAAGAATAAATTAATTTATTTTATTTCCATATCGATTTACAAAATATATTTATATATTTTAGCTTTTAAGTAAAAGTTAAGAAATATTTTTTTGATATGAAACAGGAATATAATCAAATTGCAAACTTGGAGAGAGAAATAGTGAAAAATATTGTTAATAAAAAAACTTTTTCTTTTGGTTAGATTATGTTTTAACCATATTTTCCTTCTGATTTCTGATTAATTCTAAAAAAGTCTTATGATCATAATTTAATTTTAAAGTTTATAACTAAAAAAAATGTTTTGTGAAGGAACATACAAAGAAGTTATCAGTAGATTTCCTTAGGTTTCTGTATAACAACAAAATAGTGAAACTCAATATTTCTGCAAAGAAATTCTTAATACTTTTAAGTTTGTTTCTAATCTTCCTTTAACATATTTGAAATTTGAATTATTTTAATGATTAACCTTGCAGGACAAAAGCGCTCAGTGACAAAAGCGCGCAAGACAAAATTTAAAAATAAATAATAAATTAAAAATCTGATCTACAAATATTAAGATTTATGTTTTAATTATTTTTTAAATCTTCTGTACGGATGAGTTCAATAACTGCAATAACCTTTTCAACTCGATTTTATTTCATTTAGTTTGTATTAATGTATAAAATAATTTGCAAAATGTATCTTTTCTTATGGGAAAACTTTACTGTTAATAAAATTACCAGAATGTCTATAAACGAAATGCGAATAAAAGCAAGACGAATGTATTCTCAACATTCCAAGCGCGCGATGTGATCTTATCATCATCCAAAAAAATAAACAAAATAATTACACAACAACGCCCATAAATGGAAAATTAATTATACTAATGGTCAAATTGAATGGAATCTCATTAAAGGTATGCACAAACATAACCACCGGAAAATGCCATTATCAAATTTCAGAAACACATCGTCAAGGGACGTGCAAAGCGGATGACTGTCCTGTACAATTAATAAATTAAAATGTACGGTGCGGCCACCCCATCGCAAATAAATTGATGGTAGGAAAGTCCCAGGTCTGCGGTGGGCCATTGGCCCCAATGAGATCCACGCGTGTCCGTCAATATCCGATCGGTTTCGCGCTTCCGAATTCAACGAAACACCCTGTATTTTCCGCTCCCTTTAATTATGATGTAATTAGGTTATAGTGATTATATAACGTAGGCCCGAAAGGTTATTTGGCAGAAGTCACGGTTGGAAGATGGACGCGGAAGAATGTGCAGCGGCGAAGAGACACAAGAGGAGGTTGTCCAAAAAGGATAGGAAACGGATGAGCAACTACTTCACGGAGTATTGCGACGCTACCAGCATCCACGGATTCAGATATTTGGGAGAGCAGAAGAGAAGCTGTATAGAGAAGTACTGTTTTCATTCTTAATCTTAAAGATTAAATTGATTATATCAATTGTTATTAGACTTTGGTGGTTGGTGACTTTGATAGTGTCCGTATCCATGTGCACTTATTTGATTGTACAAACTTACTATAAATGGGACAGATCTCCAGTTATTGTCAGCTTTGCCACTAAACAAACGCCCATTTGGCAAATCCCTTTTCCCGCAGTCACCATTTGCCCGGAAACCAAATGCCGACAATCCGTCTTCAATTTCACTAAGATCTACATGAAAGGCTACGACAAATTAACCAATGAAGAGTAAGTAATACATCATTGTTATTTTGGTTAAAATACAAAGCTTTTTTAGGAGAGAGCAGTTAGAGTACATCTCATTAGTCTGCAATCCTCGAGATATAATTAAAAAATTAAAGTTGAAAACTGTCAACGAAACTGTCCTTCATTTCTTCGATGATGTAATTAAATAAATATATATATATAAACATTTAATTAATATTATAAATTCTTTAGATTTCGCCTAGTTTTTCTGATGTTTCGTTGAGATGTGTTTGGATGGGAGAGTCCTTCGATTGCAACACGATTTTCTCCCCGATTTTAACCGATGAAGGTGTTTGCTACACGTTTAACATGTTGGATAGGAAAGAGCTTTTTAATGACGAGATGTAAGTCTTTAGAAAAAAAAACTGAATTTACCTGTTTATAAATTGAGTTTTTTATAGGTCATTTTTCAAAGATTACCTGCATCACGAGAATACTTCGGTGGGTTGGAGCTTGGAGAAGGGTTACGCTAAAGATGTTAAAAAGGATACGTATCCAAGAAGGGCTTTGTTCTCGGGCGCTAAAAACGGGTTGTTCATCTCGATGAAGGTTTACGATAAAGATTTGGATTACATATGCGGCGATTCCTTACAAGGCTATAAAGTTAACATTATTCGGAAGGAATTTACCAAAGATTGACTTATTCTTATTTTAGATCTTGCTTCATCATCCCGCTGAAATACCGAGAGTAAGTCAACAGTACTTTCGCGTTCCTTTAAATCAAGCAGTTGTGGCTGCAATAAAACCGGAAGTGATGACCACTTCCTCTGAGCTGCAAGGCTATCAGCCGGGAAAACGTCAATGCTATTTTCCGCACGAAAGGAATTTGCGTTTTTTCAAAATCTACACCCAACAAAACTGCGAGATTGAATGCCTCGCGAACTTCACTCTACGTTTATGCAAATGCGTCGATTTCCATATGCCACGTAAACTCTTTCAGTTCCATTGGAATTGCTAGTTTATAAATACTTTCGTTTCAGGAACGAACTCCACGCCAATTTGTGGTCCGAAGAAGATTCGATGCATGAAGCAGGCTGAGAGTATTCTACTCTCAAGCGAAATTGATATAAAGTTGAAGGAAATCGAAGATGAGGACACTCTTAACAATAAAACTTTTGTTGGGACTTTGGATAAGATTTTGAATAAGTTTAATAATAAGGCTAAGAAAGAGGAAAAACCTAAAAATTCGAACTGCGATTGCTTGCAAAGCTGCACTTCTTTGAGATACAGCACCGAAACTTCACAATCTGATTGGAATTGGACCGAATTTTTCCGAGGACTAGATGATCCTTTCAACTTCCTCACTGACAACGAAACGTAATTATAATACACTAATTTGCAACACTTGATAATAATTTCTCTTATTTTTAGGGTGCATTTATCAAAAATGGTTCTTTTCTTCAAAGACATGCAGTTTATATCTTCAGAAAGAGATGAACTTTATGGACACACCGATTTCCTTGCCAACTGCGGCGGACTTCTCGGACTCTTCACCGGATTTTCATTCATTTCCCTCGTGGAAATTATCTACTTCCTATCGTTAAGACTTATATGTAATATACGCACTCACGGAAGACTACTATGGTCCAATTCGCAAGACGCATGATTCTTGAAGGAACTATTTTGCACGTCCATTTGGTGTCTGGTATACTTTTCGATTAAAGTGGACTAAAGCAAGATTATATAATACCGTTTTTTTTTTGGAATATACGAACTTGTTAATTGCGTATGCAACGGGTGTTCTATTATTGAGCCACTCCTCATATTATGTGTCTTTTTTTGTGTATGAATGTTTACAAATTCAAATCGCGACATTACGTAACGGATTAAAACACATCGAAGATCGTTCGAGCATTCTTAAATATCTAGTCTATCTTATCGTTTATATATATACATCGTTTTGTTGTAGTTGAATGTAAAGAATACTCAATTTAAATATTATATAAGACACATTGATGTATTTTGTTATGTTATGATATTTATCACCTATTGAACTTTTCTTCTAATTATATGTAATATTATGAATGGAAACTGTTAAAATAAGTCTTTTATTATTGTAAAAACTACAAATCTAAATTAGATTAACTTAAAACTTTAATAATCATATCAATATATTAAATAATTATTAGCTCTTAACTAATTTAATTCAATTTCATAATACAGGAATACCTCTCATAGTCCGGCTTCGATCAGTCCGGAATTACTATAGTACGGTTTGAAATTAAACGAAGTAAAATTAATTGATAAAAATAAAAATTAAAAAAGTGGACAATATTATTTTTTTTAAACATAAATAATCGGTTTTTGGTTCCTTGATTTGTCCAGTTTCAAACACTCCGGAATGTCGACAGATCCGATTATTATGGACTATGCGAGTTATTGATGTGTTAATGAAGTTTTTTTAAATAAATACTTTAATATTTGTATTATTATAGTTGTTATATATTTACTGTTAGATTTATATAAATTATTTTAAAGTAACTTATCTCTCTGAAATTTGTTGAATTATTTTAATGATTAACTTTATATATTTTTTTGGAGCCGTAAGACAAAATTTAAATTAGAAATTTGATCTACAAATATTAAGATTTAAATTTTTTCTAATTATATGTAATATTATGAATGGAAATGGTTAAAATAAGTCTTTTATTATTGTAAAAACTACAAATCTAAATTAGATTAACTTAAAAGTTTAATAATCATATGAACACATTAATTAATTGTTGATTTTTAACTAATTCAATTCAATTTCATAATACAGCAATACCTTGAATAGTCCGGCTTCGATCAGTCTAGATTTACGGTTTGATAATTTCAAAATAAAGTAAAATTAATTGATGAAAATAAAAAAGTGGACAATATTATTTTTTTTTTAAATAAATAATCGGTTTTTGGCTCAAGTCTATTTGTGTCCGGTGTATTTAGTTCCTCGATTAGTCCAGTTTCAAACACTCCGGAATGTCGACAGATCCGATTATCCGGACTATGCGAGTTATTGATGTGTTAATGAAGTTTTTTTAAATAAATACTTTAATATTTGTCTATAATTGTTATATTTTTATTGTTACAATTATATAAATTATTTTAAAGTAACTTATCTCTCTGAAATTTGTTGAATTATTTTAATGATTAACTTTATATACTTTATTGGCGCCGTAAGACAAAATTTAAATTAGAAATTTGATCTACAAATATTAAGATTTAAATTTCTTCTAATTATATGTAATATTATGAATGGAAATGTTTAAAATAAGTCTTTTATTATTGTAAAAACTACAAATCTAAATTAAATTACCTTAAAACTTTAATAATTATATCAATATATTGAAATAATTATTGACTCATTCAATTTCATAATAGAGGAATACCTCGCATAGTCCGGCTTCTTTAAAACAAAGTAAATTAATTGATGAAAATAAAAAAAATATTATTTTTTAAACAAAAATAATCGATTTTTTATAGAATCAATCTTATTATCCGATTTATTAAGTTCCTAGATTAGTCCAGTTTCAAACAATCCGGAATAACAACGGATCTGATTATCCGGACTATGCGAGTGCTGTGTTAATGAAAATTATAGTTATAAATACTTTCATATTTATCTATAATTGTCATATATTTATTGTTAGAATTATATTAATTATTTTAAAGTAACTTGTTTGAAATTTGTTGTAACAGTTTTCATGATGTATTAAAAATGGTAATATTTTTCGAAAATAAACAAGTATAAGTATATATTATAGTTTTTCAATTCTTTCAAATATTTTTGCATTTTTTATATACATTATACATAATCCGTCTTTTTACGAAAGATTAAATACTAATTATTTTATAAACTAATTGTTTGTATGTAGAAACATAAATTATATTTATTATCTAATAATTACACAAATAATCGTTAAAAACTGTTTATAGTTATTTGTATATGTTATTTCGTGGAATTTCATACGAGGTTATCAGTCAGCGATTATTAATCTGCAAAGAATAAAATTATCAATTGTTTCATATAAAATGATGCGAAAACAACATAATTGTAATAAATCTCATTATTCTTCGCAGTTATTAATTTAATATAATAATTATAGCAAGAAAATATTTTATTTAAATATTAAATTTCTAAAAACAATAAATTATATTTTTGTAATATTTTACCAAATAGAAGAATGTTTAAATATTTATGAAAAAAATAATATTTTTCATTTTAAAACATTCTTAAAATAATAAACTCTTCTTAGTTTTATTATATTACATAACATATGCGACTTGTTATTGGTTAATTTTACGATCTATTTCTGCCAGATGTTTATAAAAACCAAAGAATAAACCAGAGATCGTCATTTTCCAAAGTTCGCTTGTACAACTGGATACAAAATCAGAGTAAGTTTTCTTAAGTTATTGTCAACTGATATAATTTTTAAGGGATAGTAATACCTCGAATAGTGCTAGTTCCCCTAATATACCGCACTGTTTGAAACCGCAGCAATCATAAAACTTACTAAAATACACAGCACAAAAATAGACTTGATTGTATAATGAAAAAAAATAAAAGATCATTTATGTAGACAAAATAAATTAGTATACCAAATTCTTATGACAATTTATTTGTAAAACATTAAAATTTATTTTTGAAATTTTTTGAATCAAATCTGCACTTTGCAGTAATTTTGAATAATCAACAGATTTTAACAAATATATTTTATAAATATTTTTGTAATAAATCGTAATGAATATTGAATGTAATTCTGTAACGTTAAATTAATTGGGGTTCATTCCTATGTATTTATAAAATACTGCTTAATCATTTTATGTCATGTAATAAGTAATTACGTTTTTTTCTAAATTAGAAAGACATCAGAATAGAAGCTTATTCATTTTCGTATTAGAGGCAGAAAAGTAATGCATTTTGCTCAATAATGTCTATTTTACGCTGGAATAAAGAAAATAAAAATAACTTCATGCATCCACCTATTAATTCAAAATAATAAATTATTTGTTGCACTGGGAATTGATGCATTAAAAGCGACAATAATAATCAAATACCTTAACATTAGCATTAGAATAGAAGCTTATTCATTTTTCGTATTAGAGGCAAAAAGCTAATGCATTTTACTAAGTAATGTCTATTTTGCGAACGAATAGAGAAAATAAAACTAATTACATACATCCACCTATTAATTCAAAATAATAAATTATTTGTTGTACGGGGAATTGATGTATAAAAAGCGACTATAAGGCATTCCCATTGGGGCCTAAGGGTGTGTATATATCTAGTAGAAATTATACAAAACATATATCATGCAATATAACAAGCTGCACCCACTCAGTCTATAAAGGCATTTGCTTCTGATCCCAGACTATCATTTGGTGTGTAAACATGAAGAGGAGCGTGAAAGACATTCCGCAACTGGAAGCCGGCAGCAAACCGGGCGACGATTTGTTCAAGCCGAAAAAGAAGTATCCATCTTTCTGGAAGAACCTCACCAATTACATAACCGAATTCACCGAGAACACCAGTCTTCACGGCGTCCGATATTTGGGAGAGAAGAAACGAACAGTTTTCGAGAAGTAAGTGTTACATATTTTATTATTAACTTATTTAATGAAGTTATACAAATCAAGTTATAACAATCAAATTTCTTTAAAAAAAAAAGGATATGTTGGACTACGATATTCGCAATATCACTCTTCTTGTGTATCGAGCTGATTCTGAAGACTTACCAGAAATGGGACAACTCTCCTGTAATTGTGAGCTTCGCGCAGAGCCCAACTCCTGTTTGGCAGATTCCGTTTCCGGCTGTTACCATCTGCCCGGAAATGAAGATGCGCCAAAGAGTATTCAACTACACCGATTTCTACCACAGGAATTTAGCCAACAACTTAACAGAAGAAGAGTAAGAATCTTTTATATACAAAAAAACAATAAAAATAAACATGTATTTTGAAGAGCTAAGCAATATAGTGATGCTAGTTTGGTATGCGACACTCACTTGTTCCACCACGGAGGAAACTTGACGAATCTGGAAACATTAGATTTTTTGGCCAAGGTAAATTTACAATTTAATATTTTTTGTATTACTTTGCTTTATTATATTGCAGGTTGCTCCGCAATTCGAGGAGGTTTTGATGATGTGCAAGTGGACAAATATGAACGAAACTTGCAGCAATTTGTATACTACTGTTTTAACGGAAGATGGTATATGCTTTACCTTTAATATGTTGGATCGGGATGATATATACACGAATGAAGTGTAAATAAGTTTGTTTATGTTTGTTAATACCAGTTTCTAAAGTATGATGGTTTTAGGTATCATAATAAGGATTTCTTGAAGCACGGACACGACAGACATGGTTGGACTTTGGAGAAAGGTTATTTGAAGGACGCAGGAAGAAACACGTTTCCTAGGAGAGCTTTATCTTCAGGATCGAAAGCAGGTTTGACTTTGTTGTTGAGAGCTTTCGAACAAGATATAGACTACATTTGCAAAGGACCTGTGCAAGGTTTTAAGGTCTAAAAATTACTTATTGTATCAACAGCAATTAAAATGTAATTTATATTTCAGTTGTTGTTCCACCATCCTTTAGAAGTTCCTAGAATGAGTACTCAATACTTCAGAGTACCTTTGAATCAAGAAGTTATAGTTAACGTGAAACCTGACATGATAACGATTTCTGAAGCCCTCAGAAACTACGATCCTCACAGACGCCAATGCTATTTCTCCTCAGAACGTCAGCTGAGGTATTACAAGAACTACACTCAACAGAATTGCGAGGTCGAATGCTTGACTAACTTTACCCTGGCGACTTGCGGTTGCGTCGCCCACCATATGCCTCGTAAATAGTTCTGTGAATCTCATTTTTTTTTGTCTGTACTAATCGTGTTTGAGTTATTTGCAGATACTGAATCCACCCCAATCTGCGGTTCGGGTAATACCATTTGTATGGCAATGGCAGTCCGTAAGTGGCTTTTAATAGTTTAAGTTATGTTTGGGTACAAGTTGATCTTTTCAGATAAATTACTCGCTGTGCAAGTCGACGAGGGAATCAGCTCGTTCCATGAAGGCGACGACGAGATTAAGGAGGGAAAGTGTAACTGTCTACCGGCATGTACATCTTTAACGTACAACGCGGAAACCTCTCAAGCCGATTTCAACTGGCAAGCCTTGTTTAGGGCCTACAAATCTGACTTGAACGAATTCCCTGGGTAAGCACACACATACTTTTTAAATTACTACAAAGTTGTTCTCTTGTTAATGGAGGTAAATACCTGGAATCATTATGGTAAACCTTACCTGGATTAAAATTTCGACTTTAAATTTGAATAAGTTGAAAAGAACATTTTTATATTTCATTTTCATCATTTACAAAACAAGAAAATACATGAGAGGAAAGAAAATGTTTGAAAAGTATTATTCATAAATTTTACTGTGTTATAGGTTTTTTTTTAAATTTTCTAACCGGATTATAGTGAATCCGGACTAATTGAAGCTTGACTATTCAAAAAAATACTGTATATTGTTATACATTTTAGAAAATTATTCTGTTAAATATTTTGAATCTTATTGATTTGTATTATTTCAACCATTTTCCTTATTGGTAAAATTATGTGAAAACTATAATTTTACATATACAAAAGTCTACATCTGTAATAAGCAGTTTTTCCATTCTTAAATATTGTATTATTAAATGATCGTGGGCAATATGTGGCCCGCGGGCCTCTGTTTATAGACGTCTGTAGATTACTTTAAAACGAGGTTTCCGTACTTAATCCATAAAAAAATGTTTGTTTTTAGGATACAGATGGCTCGAGTGACAATTTTCTTCAAAGAAATGCAGTTCATCACATCGGAGAGGAACGAGTTGTACGGATACACGGATTTTCTGGCCAACTGCGGCGGACTGCTCGGACTGTTCATAGGATTCTCATTCCTTTCGGTCATAGAAACCATATACTTCGTGACGTTGAGACTTGTGTGCAACGTGAGGAGATACGGCCGTCATTACTGGTCCGGTTCTCCGGAGCTGGTAAACAACGATGCTTACGACCACAAGAAGTAATCCCTCTTCCATCTGTAACGACTCCCGTGCCCATATTAATTGCACAATGAAAAACAAGAAGTAGAAAGAGCAAGAAAAAAAGTAGAAACAACAAAGCGGGTTTGGCTTCTAATAAGTAATCAGTTTCCTGCTTTCTCCCGATGCATCCGATCCTTCTTCACTTTCATTAGCAGTATTTTCACTTTTACGTGAATTGTATAGATAGACGTACGCATCGTAATTCACGCAATAGCCCTAGTTTAAATTCGAAAAGGGCTGCTCTGGTCAATGCTGGAAACCAGTTTTGCTAATGCAAATGACCTCTAGTAGTGTAACGCTCTCTGCAATTGGGGACAATCAATGTTTCCTTTCACCCTTTTCCTTCCGTTTCAAAAAACGCGTCAAGTTCACTGTCCTCGTGACTCATCATCCTCTGTAATCAATATAACACGTCAACAGAACAATTGCCGGAACACTGAGTACTTGATAAGCTAGTAACATTTGTGGTTTGAAAATTGTCCACACAATAATATGATATAGAAATCACGGATTCCACATTTGCTCGTGGAAATTCTGTACACGTCTGATAAAAAAATGCTTTTACTTTACGTAAGCATTTTTTACTTTCTCGTATGCGTATGTATGCGCGTGTACTTCTTTTTTTGCTATTCAATACAAATAATTACATGTTAATTATCTTCTATACTTTATGTAGACACAATAAGTATCAATTACTCGTTGTAAAATCCATTGAATTGAATAAAACAATAATATTCACATTGTCCAATTTCATTTTATTTATTTTTCCCATTGAACAACTAATTAATAAAAGAATTAATTTTATTTTTATTTGTGTTTGTAATGCAAAGACATTTAACAAATTCATTCTAAATTTCAAATTACTTTGTAAGTTTATAAAAATAATAAAGTGTAATGTGTTAGTAAGAAAACATGCATTATTGATCAATTTTCATGAGAAATGGAATATATTTAGCCACATTGTCATTTTACGACGCAAAATGAAAACGTTGCACTAATTTCGTATTTCCTGCATGACGTAAGTCTCGTACATAGGGGTTGAATATATTAGTTCACCTGCATTTAAACCACGTGTGCTTTCACTAAGTACACCTAGTAACGATGTTTGCACGAGTTTCGGATGTGCTTTTCAATATTTATTACCTCTACATGAAATGACGCTGAACACAAATATACAAATAGAAGTAGCATTACATAATCAATAAATAAAGAAAATTATAGTTTATTTTTTCGAATTAAATGATTTTTTCATGACTATGACTATAAATAATTTAATTAGCTTATTTTGTGTAATATATTGATAATTTTTAATCATTATTTTTAATTATCAAAACTTTTGATATTATATTCATGAATGAAATCGGTTTGCAGTAGAAATTCAATAAAATAAACCAGTTTTTAAAATTCATTTTTTTAATACATTAATTAAAGATAAAAATGCAGTAAAACAGTAGTAATTTTTAATCAACCGTAATACTTTTTTAAAAAGTTCTTTATTTTATCGCAATGGATTCAGTTTTATGGTATTAAAAATGTATCACTTTCATATAATAAAATAAATAAGTAAAAGTATTTTATTTTGAGAAGAAACGATCATTCGTTAATTTCTTTAAGAATTAATAATTAGCATTCAACAATAAAGAAAATAATAATTATCATGTACTAAAATAATGTTAGTAAATTACCGATATTATTTTGTAACAATAAAAACACTTTTGATTTTTAATGTCTCATATGAATAATAATGAAATTTCGTAACATTGATGGTTATTGGAAAAAAGTCACTACGAAATGATTTGGCGCATGAATTTGTACTTGAAGAAGAAAATAATATTAAAAAAAATACAAATTTATTGAATGTAGAAGACGATAATTTTTCAATGGAAAATTTAAAAGCCTTGTTAGTAATGAAGATACAAAGAAAATTAAGACAAAAATAAAGAAGTTCTTGCTGAAAAAAATGTTAACAACAGCAATATTTAATGTATGCTTAAATAATATTAAGAACGTTTTACTTTTTTCGTGAATAAGAAGACGTGTTATTGTTAAATACAAATAATAAACGCATATCTTTATATTATATGTAATTTTAGAGTTACTAATTAATTTAATTATGTTCCCATTGTAAATAAGTGAAGTAAATCAATGCTAATGCATTAAATTATGAATTTTTATGTAGTTAATAACTAATTTACTTAAGTTCTCTTAAAGATAGACACAATATTAATAAATAAATAATTAAACCTAAAACTAATTAATTTCATATGTCTTAATTCTTCATTTTGATTAATAAACAAATAATGAAATGAAAAACTAATTAATTTCATACAACTTGTTTCTTCATTTTGATTAACTTAAAGTTTATCTTAAACTATTTCAAAGAACATTAATGAAATTTTATAATAGATAGTTGAGAGTTTAGGACCGTATTGCCAATAAGAAGCGACAGTTAAACAAAGTTTTTAATGGACGTCGCTAATAGTATCCATCCTTCCATTAGCTTTACCAGTTCTTGTCTTGTCAAGTGTTATTATTATTTCAACCAGTTTTCCGTCCGTCGCACGGCTCACGCAGAAACCCGTTAAAACGTTTTCGAACAAAAGATCTCTAGGTGTTCGTTCTCCAGACGGCGACAACGGCTCCAAGAACAAAGCGAAAGCGCATATTAATTAAGCTAATATCGCTTTTCAATTAAACCTTTAATTGAATCTGTAATTTATTGGACGGCTTCATAAATTATACCGAGCAAATATTGTTTATGGGGAAAGCTGTAAATCATGCACGCAGTAAATACAGCTTTGCTGTTTGTTTATCTGAATAAAAAAGGGTTGTATAGTTTATATTAGTGTACGTATGTATGGTTTTCAAAGGGGATTCCCCGTACAGTAAATTTAGAATGTGTACGTTCGCGCGAATCATATTATGTTGGTTTTAGGGAAATGCATAAAAATGCATGTGGTTGATCTACGAAATTGAATCCGCGTTTGAGTCACTGTGAACTTGTACTAATCCAGTTCAAACCGACTAAACGCATTAAGAGATAAAGCGCAAATCACCGTCATATCATAGAGATAATAGTTTGTTTCCGGATTACTAAGCAGTTGTTTATAATTAAATATAGAACTTTAATTTTTAGTAAATTTATTTTAAAGAAAAATTTCATAATAACTCATAGAAAAAGTATTTGATGTAATTTTAAGTATTTCACAATAGAAATGTGAAGAAAAATCATGAAAATTAATTAATGAAAATTTTCTTTATAATTGTAAGAAAATTGAAGTTAATTGGAAGAAAAATAACGTTTTTTACAGCTTAAATAAAATAATAGAATTGCATAGAAAATAACTTAATAAATTATAAAGGCTTAAAAAATAATGTAAAATACAAATATGAGAATTTAATCATTTCAATTAAAGAATTTGTAAGAACTCTTATTAAGTATACAAATGAATCTGTTTGTTATTGGAGGTTGAATTTAATTGAGACAATTTGTAAAAACTTAAATATTGAAATATCAAATAATAAGGATATATCATTTAACAAGTATAAAAAAAATCAAAGAATTTGAAACTGAAATATAAGAACTTAAAAAGAGATTTGCAACATTTTATCGGGACAAAAGAATCTCAATAACTGAAGGTAAACCAAGATGACACAGGTATCCAAGGATTAAGATTCAGATGGCGCCTTGTTCAAACTTTATGTTGCTCTTGTCTCCAATATTTGCGAAGATAGAACTTTTAAATTTTGAGAATTTCGGACAGAAATTATAAAACGACTTTTCATTTCTCAGTAACTGTAACTTTGACTAAAGTTATTCTACTTAACAATATATGTATAATGAGTAATTGGAATATTTGAATGACATTAGAAATTGATAAATAACAATAATAACAACTGGAAATTTATATTTATTTTTAGTACGTAATATAGTGATGATTCAAAATGCATTTGATAATAAGTAAATAACTCATATAGAAATCCTTGAATTCGTTGCTATCATCAAAGCGGTTTCATAGCCTTTGGAAATGTATTCGGTTCAATTTCTGTGTTCTATATGGATGAGCGAGCTTCACGTAAATTATTATAATAATATCTATGAGCATGACCATCAATATGAATTACTCCATAACCTGTGTATGCAATTTACTTGCAAGAACTTCCTCAATTTAGGTATATCCTATAGGGAAATTACGTTCGATTCAAATCAAGTGTAATACATGCATTTACCAGCCTTGATATAAATAGAACAACAATATTTATTTATATGAAATTTACTATAATTTTTAGATTAAATAGTTTAATTATGATTATCATATTAAGTACAGTGGGGCAACTAATAGACGAATGGTTAAGTCGCCCTATTTACGTGCTAGTGGGCACACATTCAAATCCTGGCCCTTTGTGAGCCCTCTTGGTGCTTGCAGCAATAGGGCCATCCTTCATCATAGATGGACAGTCAAATGAATGAGGTTCAGTATATGGACCTTCAGCCAAGTCGATGGAAAATGACAGTGTTAAGAATAACAGCAGATTCACAGTAAAAGGAAATAGTGGAATCTCAGAGCATCAATATACTACTGAAGTAAACCTACAAGACGACAGCCAACCTACAAATAAAAATAAAAATTATCATAATGGTAACTATCCACCGGGAAAGATTACCTACCTAAAGTCAACCACGATCTTAAATTTTAAGTTTACATTGATAAATAAATTTTGAACTAAATATTAAGTACAGTCATTCAAAACATCAAATATGTCCTTGAATTTAAACAATCACAAAATATTAATCGATAAAGCTGTGACATTAATTATTTTTTAATGCGTTAATACCAAAAATATATAGAAAATGTATAAATAATTACAGTTTATATATTAATGTAAATGCTTATTTTTATAACTAGTTATAGGACAAACAAATAAATTTGTTATGACATTAATATAAATTCTATTTATTTTGCTCTATTTACATGTAATGCTAGTAACATTCTTATTGTAATAGTAATTAATTGGTTATTTAAATTGACTTTGGACTACATTGAAACGTACTCTAATGTGGGTTATTTGAAGGTTTTATGATAAATGCTTTTGTTACAACCTATGGAAAACCTTCAGACGCTTTATGTGGAAACCGGATATTGTGGCTTCCAAAAATAATTTAAAATTATGGTTTTCTTTTATATTTGTATGTATATATTTATTATTATAAAAACATCTTTTATTTGTCACAATTACCAAATGGCTATTTTTATATATAAATTATCGATTTTTTTTGTCCCTTATACAGCCAATACTCTTTTTGTATATAAACCACATAAAAAAGTCTTTATAATGTTTCAAATTTCCCGGGATAATGGCGATTATCCAGATTATGCGAATTATTTCTTTATTTTGTAGTTTTTATTCAAATAGTTTTGCCTAATTTAAAAATTACATCAAATTTATTTAATTTATTTACATTTTTTTAAAGTCTTTCTGCCTTTAAAAACAGTGATAATTTTAGAAAGTACTGCACGTAATTTGAAAAAAACGTAGAAAATTCAAGAAGAGTGTGAACATCTCATAGAGTAATATTATTTCCACATGTTATTTTCATGTTTTATTATACACATATTTTTTTTTTGGTTTTTGTTTAGTTACACTATCAAAGTTGGAGATAAAGTAAATATTAAGATAAGTTAGAAATTATGTAACAGGACGTTACTTTTATATCAAGCACCTGCATTACAACCAAAATTTTTCACATTCAACTACAAAAAAAATTAATGAAATTTTTATGAATTTAAGTAAAATTTAAAACTTGCTTTAAATAATAAGAAAAGTTTTGTTTTTATTTATATTATTAACTTATTCAGAGTTGTTGAAAACTTTATTAAATTGTTTTCATTAATTGTCATTTATAATGATTTCATTGTATTGTAAATTATATTTACAACTACAAATTATAAAGTTTTATTTTAAAAAAAGAGTTTTAAGTAAATGTATAAAACTGATATGGTATAGAAACAGTAGGATGTTTATACTTATTGTTATTTATGTGCACATGATATCTCTGTATCTGCTGGAAGCATTATAATATAAATAAACAGGGAGAGATATATATTCCAGATGACTAAAGCCCTTAAAATTATCAGCATTTGAGTTTAAAAAAAAATGGTAATTTTGTTTAATTCTAAAACTTTAGTACATTTATTTTTCTTCATAATTTGATAAGTATTATTTTCAAATCTTGATACTAAAAGGGTATATATTGTAAAAACAAAAGTGTTCAAAATATTTCATATTTTGATAAGTAAAATCGAATTAACACTTAACTTAATACAATTTACTATTACTTTCTGTAAAGTAGAATGAAACGTAAATAAGTAAAAAATAATCTAAATTGATTATTATGAACGATATGAATCATTCTGGAAATATAATACAAATTACTATTAGTTTCTGTAAAATAGAATAAATAAAGTGAAGGAAAACTGAAAAAACCTAAATTGATTACTAGGAAGAATATGAATCATTCTGGAAATATAATTGAGGCTATTAGTTGATATTGATTACAAATAATGTGGCCTCAATTTATTTAAAACTGTTACAAATTTGTTCTTTATAGGCTAAATTTCTTCTTCACTTCTTTGATTGATTTGTTTCGCCTAAATATTAAATAAATTAAATAAGGGAACATAAAAATTGTTGTTTTTAATAAAGTTTAGTCATTATTAAGATATAAAATATCGATCACAAACTTTGTTTAGAAACATAATAAGATTTACTACAATTTTCAGATTAAATAGTTTAATTTCTATAATCATATTTAGAAGACTCATTCAAAGTGTATTAATCAGCTATGTCCTTGAATTTAAACAATCAGAAAGTATTAATTGATAGAGCTGTGACTTATCTAAATCTATATTTTAATTCTACTGATTTCTTTTTTTAATCATGGATTTGTAATATTTTGTAAATAAATAATCTAGTGTTAACTTTATTTTCACAGACATGAAATATTATAAGAATATTATTCTTTTTATTATTAGATATAAATTTATGTATTAAATTAAAAATATTCACGAAATTTGATTGAGTTTTGTAAATACCAATTGCTGTATAAACTAAATAAAGAAGTGTAAACTTATTGTGATGTAACTTTTAAAGTTATGCTTCTATTAGTAGATATGTAATATTTATTAGAAAATTAGGGCTTGTTTAAAGTAGTAATAATGTAAAATCAGTGGACTGTTTTTTATTCATTGCCACTTATCACTGTTTTCTGTTGTGTATCTGCTAAATGGAGAATAACGTAAACAAACAAGGGAAAACTTAGCCTCCAGATGATAATAGTTCAGGAGTTGAATAGTTCTTGGAATAGGGTTAAATCTGTCTACAGCTCCAAATCATATGTGTAGTAAAATGGTCTTAGATCTTAGATTAGTATTTATAGTTGTATTACGTGTAGACGTCTACACAAAAAAATAGGACAACGCAACGATTCTGGGAATAGGGTTGAGTCTGTCCAATGTTTGAAATCATATGGATTAAAAAACTTTAAATAAGTTATATAATTCAATGAATATTTGCAATGAGCAAAAATATCAACAAAAAAAATTGTAAGAATTATATTTAATAATATTCTAAATAAGAGTTGTTGTGAAATGGTAACAAATTCAATGAACGTAGATGTTTACAAAATAAACAACAACAAAAAGTAAAAGTGAAGATTGACAACATACATATGTTATGGGAATATGGTTTAGTCTAATACCAGTTACTAATATTTCATTTTGTGTGGATTAAATTGTTGTTGTGAAATGGTAAGAAATTCAATGAACGTGGATGTCTACAAAATAAACAACAACAAAAAACAAAAGTGAAGATTCACAACACACGTATAGTGGGAATATGATTTAGTCTAATACCAGTTACTAATAATTCATATTATGTGGATTAAATTGTTGTTGTGAAATGGTAACAAATTTAATGAACGTAGATGTTTACAAAATAAACAACAACAAAAAGTAAAAGTGAAGATTGACAACATACATATAGTGGGAATAGGATTTAATCTTATACCAGTTACTAATATTTCATATTGTGAGGATTACATTTTTGTTGTGAAATGGTTACAAATTCAATTAGTATTTGCAATGAACGTGGATGGATGCAAAATAAACAACAATAAAAAAAGCAAAAGTGAGGACTGGTAACAGAAAGAGAAATTTCACCAAGAATAGAATAAAGGGCAATGATTCAATAAAGATTAATCTCCGATAATTGACGTGATTGATTTTTATTGGTGCTAGAGAGACATTCACCTTGGAGGAGAACAACGAATGCACGCTATCAGAGGGAACAGTTCCAAAAGCAAAGAGAAGAGAGGAGGTAGAGAAGAGCGAGTTGAAGAGGGATAGAACATGTTTCGAACCCCTTTCGAATGCTTTCGTGTCGTATAGTAAACTTGATAATAAATATGCATTACTCATGCTGGAAACGGGTTATAATAATGCATTCTGTGAGACCTGAAGAGAAAGAGAGGCCAGCAAATGCATGCGTTCACGTTACTTTCATTGAGCAGATAACGGAGGTGGAGGAGAGTTGCGCACCGTACCGCACTGCACCGCGCCGCACCGAACCGCAGCTTCAGGACATCATAATAACACAGATAGTATAGTGTGCGCTCGAATCCAGGCACAGCACCACCACTACAACAGGCACTCCACCATCCAACGCGAACGATTCGTATACCATACGCACGCAGTCTGCCTTCAAGACAACACGTGCTCGCAGCACCAGACCAGTACGATCACACTTGTATTCATACCACCTCATCTACCTACCTACAGGCATCCAGGACTTCGAACATGTCTGCAGATTCCGAGCTAAACTCCGTCCTCATCAGGAGACAAGAGATCAACGACGCCCTCGACAACGGACACGAAGTACAGCTCAAGTACAAAGTGGTGAATGTTTACACCGAGTTCCACGAATTCACGAGGAAAGAAATTAAGCAATACGAAACTACCTTCAAGAAGTAAGTCGCACCTTTGTTCTCTCATTCTTGACCTTAAGTCACATAACAATCGATTCTAAACCACAGAACTGCAGTAAGAAACAAATGCAAACGTTTAAAAACATTAAAGTTTAACACAAAGTTTTTTGTTTTAAACTTTATAGAGTCACCTTTAAATTGCATTTAATTAAACAAAAAATATATTTAACAAACACATTAACAATATTACAATAACAAAAAAAGTTGCTATAATTAACTTTAAACTATTTCTTCTTGACTTTAAGTCATAACAATTGACTTTAACTTATTAACAATTTATTTCACCAATATGGAACATAGTTAACTTTAAACCGTTCTTGCTTAAAATTTTAAATTTGATTTACTTTTCAAAGATAGTTAACAGTAAGAAAGATACAAATGAAGTTCTAATAACAACAGTTATTAATTACTTTAAAAAAATAACAACTACCAAAAACAACAAAATCATTATTTTAACTATAATTCAATAATTATAATGTAACTTTTGAATATTTCTTTCAATAATCATGAAACAATAATTATTTTAAACAATATTTTCTTCTCTTCAAAATTACAAATTAGTTTCAATAAATTCATCAAAAAGTATAAACA